AAGGCCTTAAACCTGGCATTTCATAAGAAAGGTGACTAATGTATAAACCAAATGTAATATTGAGATAAAACACGCTACACCAAAAAGGACAGACACAGATTAAAAGTAAAGTCCCCTGGTTTGTCTCTCGAGTCAAACTGCCTTGAGATAAAATCAAATCAATGTTCCACAATCCGCCACTAGATGACGCTCATGGTATACAGATTACCACAATAGATCTGTGCAAATGAATTTCCCCCTGGGGACAATAAATCTAATCTAAACTAATGTAATATTCAATCCCTTACTTGGCGATTGAGAACATGCATTCGTAACTTACCTCGTTTAAAGTACTTTTGTTCTAATATTATGGATTTAGTTGACACTACTAGCTGAGTTTCTTTTGTCCAATATCTCACGGGCAGAAAAGAAGAAGAAGAATGTTACTCTGTTTTTACTGACATGTAACATTTTATTTCACCTTGCTCTGTTTTTTAACGCATATTCAAAAACGGGAACATTTTCGGGAGTTTCAACCGGGTACCGGCCACCGAAAACGGGGACGTTTTGGTCACCCATCCGATTGTGTTTACAGCTAAGCACACACGCTAACATTAATTAAGACTACAAGCTCACTTGGGGTTGAGGCTTTTTTACACATTGCTTGACTGCCTGCCCACATATCTGATCCAAACATAGTAACGTGTATTGGGCGAAATAATTATTTTAAGTTATTTAATAATTGTGACATTTATTGTACTTTTTGATGGATGAATGATGCTCAAACAGTGTCCGCGGGGTCTTCAAAATTATTAAAAGTTGATAAATCAATTTAGCGAAAAAAATTAAGGCTATTAAAAAGTATTATTTAAACATATTTTCCTTCACTAATATGCGTTGAAATGTGTTTTCCTTCTTTCAGAGCTCTTCGCGTAATAATAACCTTAGCTTGCAGTTAAAGAGAATACAAAATAAAAAGTAAAACCACAAACAAGTTCATCACATCAAAGAAGTGTGACCAGCGGACATTTGTCGATAGTGCTCTACTACCAAAGTTCTGGGGAAAGCAGTGAGCCCCCGCAAATCATGTCAATGCCTCCCAAAGGACGACTTTTCCAGATGCCTCTGTTTTCCAATTCACTGATGCGTTACAGCTTGTGTAGGCATATGTATGTGTGTTAAGCTCAAGTATAAATGTAAAAGTGGGTCACAGCTGCCAATATAAGACCATTTTTTCAAAGCGGGTTTTCCTTGTGCAAAGAGGAGAATGAAATGAGTGCATTAACCTCGTCCTTCCCTCATCCTCACAGCCCCGTTTCCAACCATATGTTCTTCCACACGAAAGTGAGAGGAACGAGCAGAACCATACGGGCTGTATGACTGCTGTGTCCTTCCCTTTATCTTTCATAGGCCTTTCAGCTGTCCCTCCATCTCTCTTTGATATGTGCCCTGTCTCCCACCCTGAGCACAGCTGGGTCTCACTGCCTTATATTTAACTTCCTGCATACTGAACATTGCTGGGCTGAAAGATTTTCTGAATATTCCACGTTGTGTGTTTTTCTACAAACAACTAAACGTTTTAATAGGGCAGCAGACATGTTGTGTCTACATTTTAAAATGAAACATTATCAGCAAAAAACAAGTAGCCTACCTACTTGTAATGGCCAAAATCCAACAGTTTGTCTTATAACTCCATATTTCAAAGGTTATTTTTCTTGGCCACATGTAGAGCTTGGGGCGAAGCAATGTCAGACTCGCAGTAAAAAATCCACTGGACGTTTTGGTTGCTCTTGAACGTTTGATTTCCAGAAAGAACAAAACAAAATACAAAAAAAATATCCCCTTGCAACGTAAACTTAAAATGCAGATCCTAATAATCTGTTTTTACTCAAAATAAGGCTGCGTGTCAATGACGGTTTTGCTGCTTCGTGCTGCCCCCCCGTCACACACCGCACCTCCAACTTAAGGTTTTAGCCCCGCCCTCACCTGAGCAAAGCGTACCTCTCACTGAAACAGAAACATTTATTAATAAAGGTTCCAAATAAATCAAAGCAAAAATAAGCTTAAATGCTATGGTGTGACCCATAATTGTTCTCTAGAATCAATTATTTAAATTAGCCAAAAATGGGTCTAAGACGCAAAGAGGGATGCAGGGATGCAATATCAGCGACTTGGCATGCAGGGAGGGATTCACTCTGTTCTGTCCTCCTACATCCTTTCAGGCAGTGGTGCATCTCCAGCTCCACAATGGTGTCTCTGTCTGCTTCCTGTCAACCTGGAAGGACTTCTCAGATCACATCACCATGACAACCAAAGCTGTTGCAGAAGCCCCGTTCAAGTGAGTGCTTTTAGTTTCGCCTGTTTTAGTTCGACACTCATTTTTTGATCAACACTAATTTCTTTCTGTTCCTCTGTGTTTCCAGGCAAGAGAGGGAGAAGACAGGCTTCTCCTTCTATCTCGGGAGTGAGTGGGCGGGGGGGCAGCGGGTGGATAAGGCTGGGAAGGGGCTGCTGCAGGTGTGGAGGAGACAGATCCAGCAGCTAAACAGAGTCAGTCCGGACATGGCCTCCGCCATCCTGGCAGCGTATCCCTCCCCACAGCTGCTCCACAAGGTACACAGGACTACATAGCTTTTCTCTTAATATCAGCCCATCACTTCTATCTAGTAAAATCACAAAACTACCATAAAACCTTCCTCAATCAATGGATAAGTCTACAGAAGAAGTAAGAAATCTTACATAGACTGTAGAGGTTATGGGATTTCGTTCATCCATTCTTTCTCTGTTCCTGCACTTTTTACATTTCCTGCATTTTCTTTTCTTTGTTATGTTTTTATTTACTGATTGTCCTGCAAGGATCCTAACAGTTTTTATGAAGCAGCTTCTGATCTTACTCCAAATGTATATTTTATGAAATAAAGGCAACACTTCTAGGTCACATTTAAAGAAACACATCTGAACATTTTCTCTTTTTGTTTATATTAAATAATTATCTGTCTCCTGCAGGCCTATAGTCGATGTCAGAGTGAGCGTGAGAGTGTTTCTCTGCTGTCTGAGCTGCTGATCCGCAGAGGAGAAGGCGTTACCTCCACGACCCGCCGCATCGGCCCCGAGCTGTCCAGACGCCTCTTCCTGCTTATGACCTCCTGTGACCCCGAGAACACCCTGGACTCCACCGTCTGACCTCCACCGTCTGACCTTTGCCTTACATTTGTATCAACATCGGACTTATCGCCCTCTCTGTTCACAAGATGGAGTTTCATACTATGCAGTTAGAATTCTGTTTTAATTACATTTCTGTTTTATTTTTCCATAAAGTTATTTTAATTAAAAAAATCTAATTTCTCTTATCAGATTCCGCTCATGTGACCGGTTCATGCCAAATGTACACTCGCCATGCCCACTCTAGAGATGGTGGGAAACATAAATATACATAGCCTTCAGTTTAATAAATACTGATGATGAAGTAGAAAGTAAAGACAGGAGTCACAAGGATAATTCTCTAGCATTAGTCGGCTAACTTACATGTGAGGCTGTGCTACGCTGTTGATATTGGGGGAAGAGAAGTAGCAAATGACAGGTTTGTTTGCGTTGTTACTAAGGAGATATTTAAAATACTTTGGTAAGTTAATAGATAGCAGTAGCTCCCTGTAAAAGCTACTGTAGCAAACGGCATAGGGATCTTCTTCCATATCTGCAGATAAAGGCATCCTTATCATGGCTATGTTCTTTAGAGCTTTCTTGAATCCACTCTCATTCACTCACTAAACTTGATATCGATGTTGTCCCTCAGCCGCGGGTATACAAACTGCTTTGAAGCTAGTAGCCCTAAATATAGACTGTGCAGTAAGAAAATATTGCTTATCCAGGGGTTATATACTGTATCTGTTCAAGTAATCATTTAAAAAAAGGTTTTGAAAGTTTGAAGCTTTGTTTTGGTTTCTTTTCACAATGAATGTTTCAAGTAATGTTTAGTTTTCCACCACATTGGCAAAAATGACCAAACCAGTGTGAGCTTCCTTCTGTGTGGGACAATATCTCTGATGGGGTTTCATTCAGCAGCAGTGGTCGCGTTAACTGAATATTTGTAACAATGAAGGAAAAATCTGAAAGCAGTCTGTCATTTTGAGAGATTAGAACAAACTTGGAATAGCGCCAAAATGTCCACCAGCGGCCCAAATTATATTATATCCTTAGTGTAGATCAGTGGTTCTCAAACCTTTTCTGTCATTCCCCACTTTGAACAGGTGGGCCTTTTCAAGCCCCACCTGTTCCTCATTGCTCCAATCAAATGTTAGGCCAAGCTTAAAATGGTCAAATGTATCGTTCTATAACAGGGGTCTCCAACCTTTTTTAGGATGAGCTACTTTCAAAAAATAAAACAAGTCGTTAGCTACTTTTACTCCTCTTTTTTTGTTTTTTGCAGTGTATATATTTAGCACATTTGAACATTATTATATGCTTACCTTTAACCTTTGTGTGCTGTATGGGTTTGTGGGACCCGTTTTCAGTGTTTACTAAAAGAAAATGTATGCAATTTAATTATTTTAACCTGCTTTATTTGGAGGGGGACCTCACATCCTCTAGGGGGGTCCGGGGGCGTGCACCCCCGGGCAGATTTATTTTTAAATGTTGAAGTTAAATGCATCAATCTGGTGCACTTTGAGCACAAAATGAATATATGGATACAGCTCTCAACACTCAGATGAAAGGGAGCTGTATACTTTTCAATAATCCAAATATCTTTAGAATATGATCACAACCAATAACAAATCATTTAGACTTGTTTATTCTTATCTTATTTTACTTCGTTAGCATTCTTTCTTTTTATTTATGCATATTTTACTAATCACTCCCCTTTTAAACTTTTTTTTTTTTTTACTGTCCTATAGTACACATTGGAATGATTTCTTACTTTATTTTTTACAACTATATTAAATAGATAAAGGTGTACTCTCGCTAGCTCTCTCGTTCTCTCTCTCTGTCTCGCTCGATCACAGAGGCTGTGTGCTCCTCCATGGCGATGACGGCTTGCATTAAAAAATAATAATAAACATAGGCCTATTTGTAAAGCGGGGGGACACAAACGGGATTTCGAAAAGTGTCACGGTTAAATTCCTTATGAAGTGGTGAGATCCCGCTCCACATGTTTTTTTTCCTACCGACTGCAACGTGTGTGTGTGTGTGTGTGTGTGTGTGTGTGTTTCACATGTGTGTATGAGAGATTTTTACATATGTCTGTAAATGATTTTGGTTTCAGGTGTGTGTGTGTGGGGGGGTGTGTGTGTGTGTGTGTGTGTGTGTGTGTGTGTG